TACAGTTATAAAGTTACAAAACATACTGGAGATTGTTGTTGCCGTGATAACTGGGCAGACATCCTGGCCATAGAGGCTATACGTGCCATAAGAATGTGGACCCGTTGTAGGCGTTGCCCGCGTTGTCGTTGTCTCAGTTTGCTCTTAATGTATGTACAGTAGAGAACGGGACACTCGCTATCCGTACAGTGTTTGGCGTGATAACAGCACAGGACCACCAATTGTTTGCATAGGGCACAGCTGCCGCCGCCGGCGGGCGCAGCGGCCGCCTTCTGGTTGGCCAGTTTGAGTCGGTTAGCGGCCACGCGTCGACAGTGCCGGGCGAAGTGTTGCGCCACTTTTTTATACTTATGACACGATGGGAGGGCGCAGTTCGCGTCCCGACACCGGCACGAGTGGGCCAGAGTCTGCGCGCAGCGTTGGATCGCTTGGCGCGGCGATTGGCCGTTCGCTACCGTCGCCACCTCTACCCATTGGCCTACAATAGCATCAAGTACAAAAATTAATATTATTGATAAAATGATTATTTTAAACATGATAACTGTCATAATGTGTTGGACATACCTATAAGTATCAGTTGATCCATGGCGTGGGTGTGACCGTCGCGTTGATAACAGGCCACACATAGATCAAAGTGATCGCATTGACCGCAATGATAGCGTATGCCGAGTATACGTGTTTCGCACGTACGGCACGTGTGGATCGATATGCCATCACTAGTACTATCGCCCGATTCGTTAAGCATTTTAATTAAATTATATGCAAATTATAGTTTATATATTAACAACTCAAGCCACCGCGAGTTACTAACTTTGTGACTACCGGTATAACATTGTTAGTCTAACAAATGACTTACATCATTTTTTATTATTATTGAATCACCGTTTATTCTCGACACCATCCATAAATTACGCTATCATATATAAATATTTACCGTAATCGTTAGCTAAGTTACTGTAACTAAGCTAACTTAGCTTAACCCTTTAATTATAAATCTATGGATGATTAAATGTTTCTGATTTCATTCAACAGCTAATTGTTGTCTATTTTGACAGCAAATAGTTTTATCGTATAAATAAAAACATTGTATTTCTGACAATCATTACATTATTTTCACGAAATATTTTATTTAACTTTTCCAGAAAACAATTGTTTTTTGCTGTTTTCGTATTATTTTAAATGCAACTTTTATTTTTATCTAGTGTAATTGTTGCTATACTTATTGTTACCATTATAAATGGTATTATAATTTATAAATAAAACTATGGTTTAATTAAATTCATTGGTTAATTGTGTTAAATAAATGGCTTATCTATAGTCTTGTACAGTATTAAACATCATTTGAAAAGTTTTATATCTCTATAATAAACACAATCACTCGTAGTTTTAATCTTTTAATTAACTTTTTATTTTAATTATAACATTTGTTTAAATCGTTTATACATTTGAGTTTATACTTTGCATAAAATTAAATTATAATAAAAAACTTATCAAAATTAAAATCAATTTTTACGGACAATACATGTAAAGATAGAATA